CGCCGTCACATTACCCCCCTCCAAAGCTTAATTTTTATGTACAAAAGGGGAGCTTAAAATTAAGCTAAAGAAGAGAAAAAGAAGAGAACAAACCCTATAGCCTGCCTATGCCGTGATTTTGTCAACCAGGTCGTCGTCGCTGTCGCAGCCGCTGCGGCTGTAGCTATTGTCTGAGCGGGCCATGCGCCGGGCACGTAGAGCTGTGGCCGAGCTAGCTGTGGCTGAGCTATTGTTAATACAGCTGCAACTAACGCTCGTTTGTCGACTGCCGGGAGCCTGTGGCAGTCCTGCACCCAGTGAGTCTGCGAGCCACATCGTACGCATCTCCTTGCCTGCCTTCCGCCATTGATCTCTTTAGTACGGAGAGACTGACCTAGCTTGAGCGCTAGGTGCGACCTTAGCATATTCAATGGTGTTGATGCCAATGGCGTTGACTATGCTAAGATCCATCTTGTCTGGCTTCGGCTAGGTGGGCATTTGCAAGTAGATAGTTGACCGTGTGGCGAGTCGTTGAACTGACTGGAGGAGTGCTGGATAGTCGTCCGGCAGCATGAGCTGGCCGTCCAGCGCGCGTTGGATCGAGGCATTGAGACCCTGGCAGAAGGTTGTTCAATGTTGGGTGAAGCGAAAAACTGGGCGCATAGCCAGTCTAGGATGGCTGCAGGCAGAGCAGCTGATTATCAAGGCAGCTAGCAAAGACTGCCAGTTGAACAGGTAGCTGCTGGGGGGGCAGCTAGTTGTCGGTGCAGCTCGCGGGGGCTGCAGGTAGATTGAGTAGCTGCTGGCGGAGCAGCTAGTTGTCGATGCAGCTCGCGGGGCTGCAGTTTGAGCAGGTAGCTGCTGGCGGAGCAGCTCGTTGTCGAGACAGTTCGCAGAGCCTGCCTGTAGTTCGGGTAGCTGCTGGCGGAGCAGCTAGTTGTCGATGCAGCTCGCGGGGCTGCAGTTTGAGCAGGTAGCTGCTGGCGGAGCAGCTGGTTGTCGGTGCAGCTCGCGGGGGCTGCAGGTTGGTTGGATAGCTGCTGGCGGAGCAGCTCGTTGTCAAGGCAGTTCGCAGAGCCTGCCTGTCGTTCGAATAGCTGCTGGCGGTGCAGCTGGTTGTCGGCATCGTGGGGGTCGGACGACGCGAGAGGTGCGGGGAGGTCGGTCGTAAAGAGAGACAAAAAAGAAACATGTGCGTACAAGCTAGAGCGTAGCAACCGAGCTAACCTATCTCTAGCTGTATCGTGGGCATAGTGAGGGTATGAGCATACTCTAACTGATCTTACCCTCCAAGATCAGAAGAGGGGTCGCGCACTGTCTCCACCGTCGACTTGACGGGGTATGTCGGCGTCTGTCGACCCGGAGTCGTGAGCGTGTGCATGTGCATGAAAAAACAGGAGCGTGTGCATGTACATGTGCGTGATACTCAAGCTTTCATGTCACTTGAGGAATTTAATCTAATGTCACGGTCAGCATGCTCAAGCTACAAGCAAGAGGTGGTGTAACTCAACTAGATTAAACTAAGGAGCAGAGGAGCTGCTCTGCGAGTTTAAATATACATGTGTGC